AACGTGCGACCAGCAGCAGCCTGGTTCGTCCCTGGGACCGCTCTGTGTAGTGCCAACACCGAGCACGATCCTGACACAGGCGAGGGAGATACCTTGGGGTCTGCAGCCCCCTTAAGCGCAGCGTACCCCGCTGGGGGAATTACTAAAGCCCAGAGTCTGTGCACAAAGTACGTGGGAATGCAGGGGCCACAGATGGATCCTGAGCACCTGGAGGTTGGTGACCTGGATTAATAGTGATCAAATATTTAAAAGACAGCTGCCTTGGTGACGCACTGGCTCCAAATGCATGAGTGACCCTATTTACTCTCTCTATATCTGACCTAAGAATTGATTGACTGAGCTGCTCTCTTGCTACTAACTAATCCTCCAGGATCAGAGATGTGCTGGGAAAAATCTGCTCACCCATCCTCATTTGTGGAGGAGACCTTTGCTCTCCAGTGCTGGCTGGCACTTTACCAAGTCCTCAAGTCTACTTCCCTAACGGCAGCGTTTGCACAATATGTTGAAGAATGGGGTTAATTTCAGCAAAAGAGATCCTGTCATCCTAAATCTTGGTCACTAGCAGCAGGATCAAGTGACAACAAAACAGTGATACAAAAGAATCTAGTCGCATTTCCCACATAGAACTTCTCAGCCCAAAGCATATAAGCACGTACAAATACCTATATGCATGTATGTATGGTAGGAAGATATATTCTGAACAAGAAATTCTCATATTTAGTTAAATATACAGAGACCACTAACTTGTTCTTAATTTTTCTTTTTGTGAAGCTTATCTCATTTTTGCCTTCCTACTCTTATTTTTGTTATCTTTGTTTATTGTTCCATTTCTACAAAACTTGCTGTTGTATTATTTTATCTCACCATGGATGAGTTACTCTTCTATTGTTTCATGAGATATATTAGATTTGGTCACAATAATAGGAGTGTTGGCATATGAAATGCAAAATGAAGCAAAATAAAGACATCTAGTAATAGCAAATGTAACTTTTTTTTTTTTTTCCTTGCTCTTGCCAGCTTATTACAATTTGGAGATAGATGCTAGGGTTTCCTTTTAGCTAACTTAACTTTGTTTTCCTGCAAGTTGCAGATGACTTATTGAGATTTAAAAAAAAAACAACATATTTGTTTGAATTGAGGAGCATGTTGTTTTTTTGTTTGTTTTATTTTATTTTCTTCCTGAAGCAAATAAGTAATTGGGAAACATAATAATCTCAAGATTAACATTTTTTTTTCTGTAAGATCTGCATCATCTCTACTGGACAGTTTAATTTATAATTTCACTATTTGCTTCCCACTGAGATCCTCCATTTTAATCCACTTGTTTGCTGGCCCTGCTAGATATAAAGAATTTGTATAAGCTTTGTGAGCAGTCATATTGCATATCCATTCTGAAAAGGAAAACATGTACTAGGAATAATTGTTGTTATTTGCATTCTTTATCTTCATAGAAATTTCTTTTCTCATATTTTTCCTACTGGCTATGTGCAGTGAGGGGATGAACAAAAGCCTTCAAGGTTCCATTTAGCCCTTAACAAACAGTACAACAGTAGTTGCTAGAAATGTAGG